ATTATTATTTATGATTAAAAAGAATTGATTATATCAATTTTAAAAAACCAATGATTATTATCAAATTGAACTTTATTTTATTTATGTTATTATAGCAACTTCGTTACGAACTATAGACTAATATTTACTGCTAATCTGTTAGAACATTAAGATTTAAAATAAAAATAGGAATAAAAAATAAAACTAAGTGATAGTTTCAATTTATGTGAAATTTTACATCATACTCAGCTCATTACATATAGCGGAGTTATTGTATATGAGAAGGTTATTGAATATCTTCTAATTCAATTGAGTAAATATTGTATTTCTCTACAAATAAAAAAAGATTCAGTTCAAAGTACGCTGTTTCTGGAGTGCTATAACGTTTTTCTATAAAGATGTGAAGCTTCAGTTGAAAAGTAATTATTTTAATGAAAATGCCAATAAAATTACTTTCAGTTAATGTTGGAGTAATTTGTTGTTAATAATATGTTGAAAAATATAATGAGAGAAATGAAAAGAGATTTATGTTGCCGAAATCTATTATCCGATTCATAAACTTTAGAAAAGATTTATTATGTTTACGTTGTCATAAATTAAGCCGCCAATGCTAATTCAATAGCTTTCATAGTCTCTGACTGGTGAACGTGACAGGTAATGAGTACCAGGTCACAGTGTCGCCATTAATGATGACTATCTCTTTTTGAACTTCGAAAAATTAAAGTAAAGAATTATGCTCCCCAAATTTCCATAACAAACAGAGGTTGTATTGTTCTTATCATTGAACCATGTGAAAAGTACAGATGTAATAGCAAGCAAAATTTTATATGTAATCCAATTATATAAATCTAGAATACCCTTTTATGTCTTGTAAATTTTTGTTCTATGTTAATTAACGAATTGTTAAACAAGCTTTATCAAGTAATTAATGAGATAGTACGTATATATATATATATGTCTTAGGCCAATCTCAGATCAAGTCAATATTATATTGGCCTAGTCCAATTCGAGATTTGTCTAGTCGAATCTAAGATTGACCTGATCAAAGCTAGGCGAATCCTGGATTGGACTAGGCCAATCCAAAATTGACCTGAATCTTAGATTAGCCTACAACATATATATGCCTATATATGTACAGGGTGTCCTGAAAGTCATTGACCAAAAGTTTTTTCGTATATCTTTACTATTTCATTTAACTTTATCAGTAATTTTTTTTTTAAATTATAGGTGAATATACCAAGTTTTTATTTATCCGAACTGCCTTCCATATTTTTGTGCAAAACTATCACCTTGGATCAAAATACAAAAATTTGGCTCTCTTTGTAAGAAGCGAGTAATTCAACAATCGACTGAGGTTTTTTCTTTGATATTTTCATGTGATTAGATAGAGCTTGTCGAGTTCTACAAGAATATGTATATTGAAAATTTTTTAAACCTTTTCTTTGAAGCAAAATGTACAGAAAATTACTATAGGAAGTCGAAATAATTAAAGAAAAAAAACGCTGCATAATGCTTTTCTGGAAATAAAAGAGAGTAAAATTTTTGTATCTTGATCCAAGGTGATACTTTTGCACAATAATATGGAAGATCGTTCGGAGAAATGAAAACTTGGTATATTCACCTATAATTTTAAAAAAAATTTATTAATAAAGTTAAATGAAATAGTAAGGATACACGAAAAAACTTTTGGTCAATGATTTTCAGGACACCCTGTATATATATATATCGCATTTTATTATTCACATGATCATATATGTATATATATATCTTCAATGGGATCGATAATAAAGTTTGTTTTGCTGCTACTCTTTCTCAAACATTCTTGAGCAAGGCCTGTAATTATAACAATTATTTAGTATATATTCACTGCTTTCTTTCTTTTACTTCAAGGTACAGAAGTACAAATCTTTTGCTGAGTATTTACTTGAACAACAAATCAATGCAACGGTTATAAATGCAGTATCGACCAACAAAATCAACAACAATCATGTTACCAACAACAATGTCAGCATCTATTGGGAAGTATATTACGAACCATGGGTCTGTCGATTATTATGAAATTTTAAGACTAGTTTTGGGCTGTTTTTGCACAGCGTTTTCAGGAACTACCTGCTATTGTTTGTTTAAGTGTATTAGAAATAATAATAAGTGCAAGGTAAAATCCTACTTTAACTGTAATAGATTATATGTTCAATTATTTTATAGCCTTCATGGTGGACCATGAAATATAGAAATTACGAAGGGCGACATGAAGATAATCAAAGTAGGCTAGTACTTTAAAAACTTCATGAAGTTTTATCTTTGTAGATGATCATCATGAAAACATTGAACTTATGATAATCAAGCAACCACCTACAGCGATTCTCGAATAAATCGATATGTTTGTGTTGATTTAAATGATTAGTAGAAACGTTTTATTCGTTTTGTTTGCATAGTTCTTTTTGATTTCAAAAATTTAATAAAAGTAGCTGTTATCTAAAATATTCTGAAAAGGCATATGTACCAGAACCTGATTCAAACCATTTTCTCAAGATGATACTAATTTAGGGAAAGAACATAAATTAATTAATGATGTGAATGACGATCTTGTTTAGTAAATAATTAAAATAAGACTTGATGTGCTACTAATAAAAAAAGCTTTTTTCTTGCTCAGCAAAAAATTGTTCTTTCAGGAAGTTCTTATATGATTCGGTTCCTAAATCGACTCATATTAATAGCTGATTAGTTACAAAGAGTTTTGTAAAAATTACTTCGGTTGTTAATGCTGTATTGATTTATCTATCTACCATATTCAACACAGTTGTATTTTCAATAGTTCAAAACATAGAAAGCATAAACATTTTGATCTTCTTGTGGAGAACGTGCGTAACACCATCATTTCAAGCAGATATTCATGAATGTAGAGCTCTTGTGATTCGAAACTTTTTTCCATTGGCTATTACTTGTTATTTGTTGGTTGATGCTGTGCTACATTGAATGCACTTACTATAGAACCTTCCATTATACTATGAATTATATATCACAAAGAACTTTAAAGCCGTAAACAACTAAAAATCTTATGAGTTCAATATACAATCAATTGAATTATGAATGTATTTTACTAATCTTGTGACATTATTACGTGATAATAATCATCATCTATAAAAATATTTCATAGTGATACAGGCAATATAAATCGTTGAAGGCTATTGTATAACTATTAAGCAACTTTAATATTAGACTATAAAATATGTTGTACTCTAACATATTGACATAAAACATGAAATATCATAATCAAATGTTCTACTATGTTTTGTTAGATACACTCTAATTAAATGAATTTCAAAAAGATTCGCTACAGCACTACCGAAATATGTTAAATAAGAACGACAAAATAAAAGATAAGCTACATTGGCGCAATGCATAAAAATAGTATTTTCTACAATATAATTATTTCTTAGTTGTATCAGCCCTATTTGATTTTGAGTGTGTATGACTTTGGTGAGGAGTCTGAAGAGAAAAATAGAATAAGAAAAGTATTTTCCAGACACAAAGACACTTACCAAATCATCAGAACCATCAAATCTAGGCTCTGCTTTTCTTAAAAGATTTTCTGCCAGTTGATATCTATAATTTTGAATATTTGAGTTATTAATAAGCACGAATTTTTTCTTTTGAATATAAGCAAGTGCTTGAACCAAAACATGCACACTGCAGGATGAGATATCCGTTTGTTGAAATCTTTTATCATTATTTGGACAATATAATGTCCATTCATTATCAAAATCAATAGTAATTCCTGTTTTTAGCGTGTGCTGTATATTTAAAAAGTTTCCTAAACGAGTCATATTGTCCAATCGAGGAATATCATGTGATGACATGGAATCGAGCTCAATAATCAGTTTTATATTTCGATCAAATATCAGTATGTACCAATGATTGTTTTGATTGATTGGACACAGTATAATGTCGTATGAAAGCCATGTACATCCTAACTTGTTTATTCTTCTACGAAGTATGTTTGACACTGTATAACTAGACACAGCTAACACACGGTTCTCTACAGTAGCAGTAGATGTGATGACATATAAAAACGAATTGATTATGATATCATTAAGTAATCCTTCTATATTGCAGAGACGAGTTATATCAGTAGCATTTAACTCGAAAGGACCCACGTCAAACTGTCGACTGAAACATGGAAGTAAACCTTTTACAACGTCAACCACTATGTTATTCGGTTCAGGTAATGAATCCAATTTACTTTGATCTATGAACACTTTTCGAAGACCAGTTAAAGTAAAAGCATTAGCGTCCGTTTTGTATGCAAAAACTATCCATTTTGAGGCCAAAACAGTTTGTTGAATCGGCATGTCGCGCAACAATTCAAATCGCTTGCTATCTTTATTGAATAAACTGTAACCATTGTGGTCTTTTCTCAGGAATAGAATATCATCACCTTCTAGTACAACTAAGACAGTTTGAACACTATATTCAATCGTCGAACTGCTAGATAGCGGTTGAATAGCGAGAAGATCGACATCTGCAATTAATTCAATACATTTGGTACTACATGGTGCACTCAAAAGCATAAACTGTGGTATGTCATATAGAATAGCATTTGATAATCCAAATGTATGACAGGATGAACACTCAATACTTCTTTGTAGAGAATTATTGAGAACGTCATTGATATGAGTTGTTTTCAAGTCCATTAGATATACATCATGTAATGTTTGTGCAGCAAAGTTGTCTGAAAAGATAAGAATAAACTGATAGGAAATTCAGTTTCTATTCTTCAAAAATAAAAAATAAAATAAAAACTAGATCTATGGTAGTTCCCGGTCAAGTAACTTTACTGATATCAATCATCTATTTTTTTTCTAAAAGAACTAGAACTGTTGATCAGTGCTGAAGAAAAAGGAAGTAGTGTTCTAAATCAGTTCTCGGAAAAGAACAAGCTCATGAAACTATCAGTTCTGAGAAGTCTGATGAAAGCATACTCATCATGATTTCATCCTGGCATATCCACTGTTTTTCGACTAAATTACTAATAAAAAGACTATCAATAGATTACCGTTACCACAAACAGAGCATGTGAAAGATTTGGCGGCTGCAAAATTGAGAACATTAGCTTTACTTGGATCATGCTTTGTAAAATATTCGACTGCATCGTTGAGACATAAGGTAGGAGTTAACGAAGGCTGTTCCTGTGAGAAATTAGTAAAAACATTCCATAAAGCACTTGAGAATACGTCCGTCGACGATGATGGAATAAAGTTTGCTAATACAATTGACTGTGTTGGAGCTTTTTCTCCGAATATACTTTCGTAACTAATTAGAGTCGTTTTCATATCTTCCAATTTATACCAATCATTTCTGTAACGTGCGTAAGTGATATAATGTTCTGAGTCATGGTTTTTTGGACGAATAATGAACGATTGTAATGTGTATCGCGTAGATGAGTAAGTAAATATTAAATCGTGGGACATGATTGAAGTGAGATTTGTATGTTCGGTCAATTTTAATGTTTTCATGCCATCTTTTACGTCGGTCGGAACGTGAATAAAAAGAAACTTAGGACAATTCATAAGTGAAAAACTGTTCATATTATTTTTGTTGTTCAAACATTTCGGACAATTGTTTGCTATTGAAACAGGACCGAACAAATCAGCTAAAACGTCTGGAAGAGTATTTTCTGTTGTTGTTTGTTGAACAAGTAAGTAATCACATGGTTGTTGATTGAGAATACTAATTTGAAAACATGAAGAACATTGTATCATACTTGCCAAAGAAATCTTCAGATCGATTTCGTAGTGAAGAAGAGTAGGAGCAACAATCCGTTTAAAAAAATCTAAAACAGAAGGTGATTTGCTACTTTTTACTTCAAATCCGCACCACATTAAGCAATTGATTGTATTTTTTATCATGTCATCGTTGATGATTCGTCTAGCTTCTGTCATATGTTCATCACGCTTAACTAAATAGTAGAGTGCTGTACTAAATTGGTAAATATGATCAGGTGTTAAATCATTATCCATTAAGCCAACTCGTCGAACCGTTTGAACTAAATGACCTGAAGCTAATAGCATTTGCATAGTGCTATTATACCAAGAATTATTGCGTTTGTTCTCGAAGCGCAAGGTTTGTGAAAATTGCCCCACATCTAAAATATATACATATCAAAGCTATTTTTATGCATTCATTCAATCATTAGAATAAAGTGTACATAATCGTGCATCATTATTAATGAAAAAAAGGATGTAATTACATTGTAGCGAAACTTATATCATGGCATCATGTATTTTTAATGAAATAATGCTCCAATATTTAATCTATGAAGTTTTAAACGTACTATTGATCTTAAAACAATTATTTGATCGGAAGAGATTATAATAATTTATTTTGTTTAAATAAAAACCGATCTACGATATTTGTACCGTGTTATCGAAAGCTGATGTTTGTATGTATATCTCGCAGAAGACAACATCTAATTTACTTGAATTATCAAATGTCTTATCATCTCAAAAGACAACAGAGAGACTATCTACATACAATCAAGAACATGTATCAAACATAATTAGCAAAGATATCACTCGTGTATTATCAATTCATAATCCAGCCTCTTTCATGCATTATAAAAGACAAATATTTCATTGCTTTGATGATGAATTTCATTTCGTCGATATGAAGAACGAACTTGATATGATATCCAGCACTCTAAATGATGATAATCCAAGACACTCTGCTTTACACATTTCAAAAAGTCACGTTAAAGTTATTTTTGGACAAATACTGAACAAAAATATTGCTGTCGATTTCCTATCACTATCTGACATGCTATATCTATACACTCATATACTGACAATAAATACTACTTCAAACGAATCAATCGACATGCAAAAAATGATGGATTCCTTTCTCCGCCTAGTGGTTGGGCAGAATATATATGCTCTACGTTCATGTTCATTCGATCTGAAGAATAATAAAAAATATTCTCCTTGTTTAGTAATATCTACCTTAGTGCTTCGACCTTTATTGGATGTTCTATCTATGTTTACAGTTTATCATCTAATTCCGTTGCCAGTTGCAGTAAATGATTACAAATACACGTACTTCAATTTACAACATTGGCGGTTTAAATGTGATTGATAAAACCATTGCAGTCTGGAGAGAGACCAAAGATCGACAGACTTGTCAATTTTCTCCCATAGTTCAATGCGACGAGGATCCTATTATTGCTTCGTTGTCTGATTTGCAATTTTTACACGAACTTCTCACTGAAGATTTATCTACTACTAATGCCTGCCAAGTAACACGAACTCATGACGTTCAACCGAATATTTTCAAGGTCAGTGAGCGTATATGGCTCTTTTATAACATGGATGAACCTTATCGATGTAACAGCGTTCTTAAACCAGGCAACGAGCTATCGATTAAAGAAGCTGGTCTCTATCTATTACCATGCCAAACTTATATAAAATGCTCCAATATCGAATTACCAAATCTTCTATGTACTAATGAGACTTTGATAATAGGACCTCATTCCGGAATTTCATATGAGCCGTCATCACATTTACGATTTCCGCTACAAAATATTACTCATCGCCTCAAAAATATTTACATGCGAAAAGTATTATTTGAATTTGATGACATTGAACAATTGAAACTCAATCAGAAAACCAAACTCAAAAAAATTCTAGACAATTTAGGCAACTATTTTCTTGCTACATTATGTTTAATCTTGCTGTCAATATTACTCGTTGTAATAAAGTTTCTTCAAGCTAAATTGAAACATGAAACCGAAGGAATCAAAAGAAATATTAACCAATTAATACGAGACATTTACGATTAGTTATTATATACACAATAAAACTGATATGAGTTTACAAAAAAACTTACTTCACATCCAATTCTTATATTGTGAAAACTTTTCATTGAACTTAAAAATAAATGTTAGGATCACTATAAAATAAAAAAATAAATCTAATACACATCTCAGACTGTAAAAAAGCATTTGTTGGAGGAAAATTCAATCAGGTCTCACTATACTACTCACCGAAAAATGCAAATAGTCTAACAAATTTCAATAATCAAAGCAACATACTCCATCTGCTATAAACATCACAGATCGAGCACTCGTACCACTTATTAAAGTACTTGATCATCATTTCCACAATACATAACATATCTCCGATCAATCAGTGTCACCTAAAATAAAACACAAGCCATAATGCATATTTTTCAACAACTAATAACAACAACAATTTTTGTATAAAATTAATCCTAAAGAATGCATAGACTTTGAATATGATACAGTAATAAAACTTGAATGCAATTATACATCCTCCTCTCTCCGAAATCAGCTTACGCAGAAAACAACCTACAACCAAGCATCCCCAGCAAATTATAAATGTCTGCAATCACAAACTAACGTATGATTTTTTTTACATCGAACTCATCAGTCAGCGAGACTTCTTGGTGTACAAGATAGATGAAACGATAACGAATCCAACCACCAATTCCTTCTCTCTCGGCCACTGGCTAGAAACTAGAAAGCACCCTTCGCATCTTACACACGGCAGTGTCTATATAAGATCAACAACTTCCCCGCTATAAATATATTCGCCGAGACGAACGAACTGCTGCATGGGACACACTTTTCAATTGTGAGTCTCATAATATACGATTTCTCTCTCCATAATGGGTCCAACACTACAACACACCACCATCATATTTCACATGCGCGTTACAATCGAACATCGGATCAATTCTTTCACTGTATCAAACCGAACCGCGGGACACAAGACACAGTGTATGCGATAGAGCTTTCAATTGTGAATCAAACGATATGCTTCGTCTCTCTCGGCTATGAGGTGGACACTTGAAAGTACCATTTGGAACATACACATAGTAGTGACCATATACTATCAAACATTTTTTTGCTTTCTGAAACTCATGGTCGAGAGAGAAGATATGGTGTACATGATAGAGCTTTCAATTCTGAATCCAGCGATATGGTTTGTTTCTTCCGGTTATGAGGTGAACAGTACAAAGTAGCCTTTTGAATATATACATAGCACTACCATTTGACGAAGAATGTGTTGGAATGATGATAGGATTTGTTTTGCTGAGTTTTAGGGTGTTATCGATATATTGTTGAGTTTTTGGTATATAGTTGGAATTGGGAACAGTTGGTAAGCTAGTAGGTTGTTTGTGAGTTGTTTTTTTTAACTAGGATTGCGTGGTAACTAAGGATTATGTGTCGGTATTTTCTGAACTGTTGTTGGTATTTTGTGCTTTTTCTGTGATTGGTTGATTGATTGAAGAATATGATTGGTGATCGTGGTAGCTTCACATCGATTCGTTCGAGGAAAAAGATTATCATTATTGTCATTATCATTGTTGAAATGATTTGTTGCTTCGTCATCATTTTTCGCAACTTTTTCAAAGTCTTGATCGTCCATATTGACCACTTGAGATGAATAGTCGTACATATTTGACTTTGCATTTAATTGTGAAATCATATATACACTTAATGGTAGACCTACAACACCCATGTGATTCGAACCGGAAAAAAGCCGGCGGTATACCGGCGGTGAACCGCCGGCATTTACCGGTAGTAACAAAATAACTGGCGGTATACCGGTACGATCAGGGTACGAATCTACTGATTCGCAGTCTTACGAATCTAAGAATAAATGTAAAATATCATAGGCCGCAAATTGACTTAGTGAATCTATTTAATAAAAAATCCACTTATTTTTATATTTAGATATCGAAAATTTTTTTTTTGAGTGAAATTTAACTATTTCCGAGAAGAATTTAAATAACGGTTACATTTCACTCAAAAACAACTTTCGATATATAAATAAAAAGAAAAGAGGTTTTTTAATAAATTGATTCACTAAACCAACTTGCAACCTATGACAATTTACATTTATTCTTAGATTTGTAAGACTTCGAATCGTAGATATGATTAGCAATTGTTGTTTCATCTTTGTTTCGTCGTTTTGTTAAGTCGATCATTTTCGGATTGATCTAAATAATAGAAAAAAAAATAATTTGCATAAAAAAATACTTACTGTTTTTTTTGTTGTTAATATTGCTCTAAACCAACGAAAAAAATTATTTTATAAATCAGTAATCACTTTTCATTGTGATTTTAAAATCGATCTAAATGAAAGAAACAAATGGTTTACATAAATGCCTACTTTATCTCATGGAGTTGAGATTACTCTAAATAAAAGAAAAATATTATAATTTCTGTCATAAATAATTGCTCTTCATTGTTATGTTGAGAATTATCTAAATTAAAGAAACAAAAATAGTCATCTATATAGATAAATACATGTGTATTTTGGAAGTGTTTTGACGGCCGGTATACCGCGGTACCTAAGAAAACTACCGTTACACCGCTGTACTTAATAAGATCGCCGGTATGCCGCGGTACTCAATAAAGCCGTCGGTATACAGCCGGTGTACTGGCGGTTTCTTCAAGTACCACGGTATACCGGCGGTAGTTCAAATAAATGTACGACATGGGCAGTTCCATATCAGTTCCGATTTTGAGAACTGTCGCAATAGTTCTTTAATAGAAACTGATCTATATAGTAGTTATTTTTGAATGAACTCGTGATACCATACATCTCATTTTAACCTTCTCATCAGATTTATTATTGCTTCATTCAGGATCATGCTTGTGAACTGCACAAATGTGCTGGAATGAAGCTAACTGAAGCTTAACGTGAGATTAGAAGGACTCAATTTAAAAAAAACGAACTAGTCGCCAGACTCAATTCTAAAAAGAATCGGTTCATTGTGTTGAGAGTTGTCACAGGTCTACTTATTGACTTTAAACGAAGAACACGTCGTTTGCGTAACAAATTCAATATTTCTTAGCCATCAAGTATATCAATAGTTTTATCATACGCGCCAGTGATAGTGTATTTAATATCTAGTTGATCGATCTCATTTTGAATTTGTGCCAATGATAATTGACGATCATTCCAATGCTTGTAATGAACAAGAAACATCAAACAGCCAACTGATTCTTCGTGTAACTGTTTAAATTGAATATCAACCAGTGATAACAATCTTTGTGAATCTCGTAGAATGTCATGTACAGTGCAGTTGACTATAGTTGAATGAATTTTACTTAATGCTCGCGTGTTGCTAAAAATTTATTCAGAAGCTTGGGAATTTAAAATATATGAACATTCAATGCATGTAACAGTGACTGTTTCTGTTTTGTGAGTAAAATTAAATATAATGAATTATGTGAATTCAGTTTGACCAAGATATATGTTGATTTAGACAAAAAAAATTGCTTTTCTTATTGTGTGCTATTTATGTCAGTGTTGTAACTGATAACGATACACCGTCGGTCCAGTTCAGTTCAGTTCAATTGGATAAAGAATTTCTTGCCGACTGATAGATATAAGATTTATTTCTTTATCGGCCAGTCAGGATTTTTCTGAGTTTCTTTCATGCTTTTTTCCAAAGAATTAATGCCAAAAGTTTTCTTTTTTGTAAATCAAACACTTTTCACTGATATTGAAGATTGTTTCTGTAATCGAGCATACGTCAGAATTTTCTGCTTACTAAAAATTTGTTATAGCACGATTCCTATATTATATCAATTCTTGTTGATATCGAGTTATACTATCGAAACAAAACCAATAAATTATGTAGCATTGTTATTATCTTATATTTATTTGTATTTTCTACTACTTATAGCATATACTCCACATAAGCACAAGAAATGCCGAGTGAATACTACGTGAAAAATGAATAATGCATATATTTGATTATAAATGGTCATGTCTAATGAACATGTAATTAGTGCATAAAGTTTATATAGGATTTGTAGTTTCCAAAAGTTTTCCGTTCATCGACCGGTACATATAGACAGAAAACTTATGGAAATAGTGAATAGTTCTATAGTTGCGATCCAGAACACGTACGTCACACCTACACCCTGATTCAGAGATAGATATGACCGATCGAGAGTTTGATTTAAGTTCCATGTGGTCAAAAAAGTGAAAAATAATTCACGTCAGTCTACCGATCCGTGCCTTTCCAATAGTTATAGACGCATATCCATTTCAAATTAAAAGAGACGGTTAGTGTTGGTCGAATATCTCCATAATGGTAACAGCTAGAGACCTGCGGGATTTTTTGTTTTGTAGTCCTATATGAGGCAAGTAAATCATATGCTTCGGGTGAAATTTTTCGAACCAGTGTTGATAGGGTTTGAGGGCTTTTTCTGAAACACATTGAAATTTGGGAATGACAGAATGCCCATTTTCAACCCCTGATTATTGAAAATAATAGCCTATACTCTTCTGTACATTCGAAAAATGCCAGCATTTTTCGTAAAAGCTCTGAAAAAGTCTTTTTCACCAGAGAAATATACACTATTGGCTCCAGGGAACATTCCAAACTGTTTTCTCTGGCTTTTCAAGCATACATATTTCGTTAGAGACATTATCGAATACTCCAGTCCAGTCCTCCAACAATGTCTATTCAGATTGCTCTCCTCTCTCATAATGACGTGTAATTGGCTGTTTTTCAGTAAAAACCTTCACTAAGGTATTTTTTGGATATGAATCATGTGATGAACGGATATTCCCAAAACTATTATCGTTCAAGTCATTTGAAATTTTTTTTATCAATATGCCTAAAGGTGAAGAATTCTCGGTCGAGCAAAAGAAGCTTATGTTTCTGGTAATTGAATTCACCGAATCTGAACGAGATGGTCTTCCAATACCTGTGACGAGCATCAGCGCCCGAATGATAACTCTTCTTGGAGTCTATTACAGCTCGGTCAACAGGTTGAAAGAGGTGTTGCGAGAGCTTCAACGAGAACAGAAAAAGGAAAACAGCAGCCAAAACGAAAAAATGGTTCCTGAAGCGGCCACAATTCGTACTCGAGCTCAATTTGTGTCTGCCACCACTCCAACTAGCTCTCAAAAAACAAAGAAGACTTGGTCTGCTAGAAAGCTCGCTTTAGCCGCCCCCTCAACCAATCTTCCAATATCAATCGCACCGAAGAAGGAAGGTTATGTGGGACGGCGACGAGTTGTTCTCAGTGAAGTTGGTCAAGACGCTATTCGTTATCACTTTCATTTGATTCTGGTAAGAATGAACTCCGATATTGACTTTACTCTACGAAATTAATTTAAAAGGGTGAACGGCGCTACCCGACTGTTCGCAATACTCTTGCAAGCCTTCTGATGGAACATCCCGATTTTCCGATCAAATCTGAAACCACTCTTTGCCGACAAATGAAACGACTTGGCTTTGGTTACAAGCAAATGAGCAAACTGGCTGCTCAGAGAGGAGCTTATTTTCGACGTCTTGATGATTTTCGAAATGATGGAGCATTTATTTATTATCATGATGAAACGTGGTGGAATGTTGGTGAAGAGTAGCGTTCAATTTGGATCGATGAGGCGGGACAGAGGCGACTGAAGAAAAGCGATGGCAAAGGAAAGCGATTGGCGATTTCGGGCATGGTCAACGAAAAAGGTTTTCATAAAGAGAGTGTGGATTTGTTCACATGTGACATCGATCACAATATGGTGAGTTTCATATATTATTCAAATTCAAAACAATTTTCTCGGCTCTCATTCTAGACTTCAACCCGCTTTGTCGAATGGGTCTCACTCATTGCCTCACAGTTACGATTGAAACACGGGCTCCAAATTCGGATAGCGATCGTGATAGACAATGCAACTTGGCACAACAAATTGACGGAAGATTCAACACCCCCGAAACGAGCGTCGCAAAAATTGGCGCTTCAGAGTTGGCTAAGTAAGCGATGGACTCCATTTGACGCAGTCTCCACAAATGCTGAACTACTCGAGCTTGCTTTTCAACATCTCCCACCAAAAAAATACTTGACCAATGTCGCAGCTGAAGAATTCAACGTCGCGATTCTCCGTCTACCGATCAAACACTGCGTTCTTAACCCGATCGAGCTATGCTGATCACAACTTAAAAGCTACGTTCGCCGAAACAACACCTCAGGTTGCCTGGACGATATTCACTCTCTCTCTCTAGAGTATATCACAGCACTGGATAACTGCATGGCTTTCATCGCTCATGCTCGAAAGGCGGACGTGGCGTTTCGAGAAGTCAACAAATATGTAGAAGTAGCAGTCGATCCTGAAATCGTTGATACTGATGTCGAAGATGAAACAGAATTTTCAATGGATTCCAGTACTGAAGATGAGATTTAAATTGTAAAAATAAAATTGAACCCGTTATTCGTTGGAAAACGGCCAATTACACGTCATTATGAGAGAGGAGAGCAATCTGAATAGACATTGTTGGAGGACTGGAGTATTCGATAATGTCTCTAACGAACTATGTATGCTTGAAAATCCAGAGAAAACAGTTTGGAATGTTCCCTGGAGCCAATAATGTATATTTCTCTGGTGAAAAAGGCTTTTCAGAGCTTTTACGAAAAATGTTGGCATTTTTCGAATGTACAGAAGAGTATAGGCTATCATTTTCAATAATCAGCGGTTGAAAATGGGCATTCTGTCATTTCCAAATTTCAATGTGTTTCAGGAAAAGCCCTCAAACCCTATCAACACTGGTTCGAAAAATTTCACTCAAAGCATGTGATTTACTTGCCCCATATAAGTCTACTAAACAGAAAAAACCCGCAGGTCTCTAACTGTTACCATTATGGAGATATTCGACCAACACTGGCCGTCTCTTTTTATTTGAAATGGATATTAGTTATCTTTACTGTATACCATCATGATATTTTGAATAGTACACTGAAAGAAAAAAAGGTACATTACCGAACTTTTGAGGTTTCGTTCTCATGTACAGAACCTCTTCAGGTATCGTTCGACTGTACAGAACCTTTATGAGGTTTTGCGGTGAAACAAATTTCGTGAAAATCATAAGTGATTTTTGCTAGTCGGAAAAGTTTCGTACGAAGCCTGCTAGAGGTCTCACTGTCTACAGATTTCATATGAAACGAATCTTTTTCCTTATATCACCTATACGAAGAACACATGTTCCTCAATCAGACAGTGGGCTGATCTGACATCAGTGGTCTGTTTCTGCGTTTACATAGACACTACAATCCTTTCTGGATATTGAATGACAGCTCTCAGACTTCATGTATTACAAACTACTTACATCTAGATAAAGACATTACCATATAGAAATAAGATTTTAATGATAGAGATACGCGTTTAAATTTAGGAATCAGCTGTTAAGGATGAGTTTAAAGGTTACATTTAGGAATAAAAAGGTAAACGATAGATATCATGAAATTGACTTAAGAATAAGCTGTTACGGATGCATGTTAGCGCTTCGTTTTACGGATGAGTGGTTAATGATTAATATACAGATTTAGATATACATACAAATGGCTAAGAGGATATACGAAGGTTTACAAACCGCAATAACCTGTTAAGAGATGGAGATAAGAGTATAGATGCCTGTTTAACCAGTCACGAATAGATATATGAAAGTTTAGATTAAGGTTAAGACAGTTAACGATAGAAATAAGGGTTAAGATTAGTTATAGTAGCTTGAATATAGAAATAAAGGATTTTGAATATGCATGAGGGGTTCAAAATATAGGTACATAAAATAGGTTTTGAGAGTGGATGGATGAAAGAGTCGTATTGTCTGGAACGTAATAAGAAACGGATACATGAAAGCCTATTTTCAAGCAATTACAGCAAAAGATGGACAGGAAACCCTGTTGGTACGAAACTTTAAAGGATTTCGATTTGGTTGCAAAAGTCGAAAGTCTTTTGGGTTTCGTATAGTACCTTTTTTGTTTTTAGTATACCACTGAAGATTCGACTGTTTCGCAAAAGTAGAGCTATTTCTTGTCTACCACATTGTGCATTATCAATTGAACGTGAAACTGTTATTGTCTTAACTGTTATTCTCGTAGTTTTTATTGTTGCAATAGTTGTCTGACCACGATAACATATTTTGAAATCCACTCCTGAACGAATAACAAAAGATCAACACCCGAAGACGTTTGATCAGTTGGCAGTTATCAAGGAAAACTAAAGATGAAAACAGCATTTTCTGAAACGGTTCATTTCTTTAAAATACGATGTGTCACCTTATTCAGCAAGTAAAAATCTTCAGTCTTACTTGAGAGCTAAACGCTTCCATTTTGCTCTATACATATTCTCCTCAACAGTTTTTAATCGTTTGATAACTGCGTCACCTGGTAAATTTGTTGAGAATTCTGTAACTGCACTCGTTTTGTCTATTTTTATTGAGGTTCTAACAACCATTAGTTGGATCTGTCAGGAACTACGCATTAATACTATATAGTTTCGCACACATCTAAAATATTTAAACGTTATACTGTCTTTTAATATGGTCGAGTAAGAACTCAACGACTCACATATAATGGATAAATCTCCTTTACAATTGATGTGGTTTTCTGATCATCAGTCAAGTTCGAAGGTTTTCCGGTATTAAATCACATTGTCCAGGATTTTCTACTGCTGCAACTTGATTCTTCAGATGTTAGACTTGATAGAAAAAATGTATTGACGATATCACAGGAATTACCGAAGAACAAAACTAATGTTATCATGGAAAGAAATAGCATTTTTACAAATCTTTATCTACTCTATCTGTGAAAAAAATTCTGCTTGACTATAATATATACTTTGATGGAAAAAATCTCAGTCTAATTCTTCCCTCATCAAGTTATTAAGGGGTTATTAGTGCGGAATAAGTTGTATCGCGCCAATTTTATATCGAGTTACAAAGGTGACAGATTTCTTTTCCAAGAAAATACATGATATACATTTATCTAACTGAAAATAAGCGCCTTGCAAATTTTGATTTTACTTCATACTACGTTTTGCTAGGGATGTCGATGTGTGGGGTGTGGGTACCCCGTGTGGGATGGGGGTATGCTAATGAGTGTTTGATATCAGTGTAACACTTCACTTCACCTAAATCAACTTCACACCTACACTCATATCCACACCCGTAGGCACAACCATCACTCACACCTACACCCGTTTCCTCACCAAACAACGATTTACCATCACCTGATCTAACGCCTGCTTTCAATACTGAAATGATTGAACTATCCTGAATAGAGTTTAACGCTGGTAAAGAACGAACCTTATTGGAAAGTTTTCTTTTTCTTTTTCTCGTCTCCTCTCCTATTATATGTATCTGTTTCGATCACAATTGTTAGCATATACATTCGCGCATGTTCCTTTTTTCTTTTCTTCTCTCTCCCTCCATTTTCTGTTTTCTTGTTTCTGCTGGTTGTTATACTTATCTAATTTTGCTATGGTTTCTCGTCACAGATATTTAATCGAGCAATATCATAGTTCATTTTTTTTCTCTTTCTATTCATCTGCGCTTGCCCGTTTCCATTAATTCTCTGCTTATTCTGACACTCAAATTAGTTCTATTTTTTTTATTGCTCTTATTGTTGTTTTTCTACATGTATCTTTTCATCGTTTCAGTTATGTGCTCTACATGCGCTCATGCAGATGCACTTGCATCACAGTGAAGGGATGTGTGATGGGTTCTACCCGTCACCAGTCTTCATGGTCGTGTTCAAGGGCATATGTCACGTACATATATATGATCCATCGATTATTTTCTTCTCATACATACTTACAGGTTGTCCCAAAAAGAACCTTCCTGAAAGTTGTTTTTACATATCTTTACTATTTGATTCAACATTATCGACCAACTTTTTTTGACACTGATAGGTGAAAATATCAAGTTTTTATTTGTACAAACAAAGTTCAGGAATAGTGTTAAAAGCTATCGTCATTAACTAAAACACAAAAGTTTTTTTTTTCTGTATCTAGAAAAATATTATACAACACTTCTTTTTTAATCAATTCATTTTCTTTAGATGTTCTGGCTTCTAAATAATCCAGATCTTCTAGAGCTGTTTTATAAGCATTCGCTTTGACATGTTTCCATAGAAAGGAAACCGATATTGTTAAGTCTGGTGAATATGAAACACACAAGATCGATTTATCTCTTATAATCCACTGATCATCAAAATTGTCATTCAACCACTTTATTAATTAAATGATCTTTACGATTAATAATACATCTATGAATTATATTAATCAATTTAAATAAAATAATAAAGGACTTATTTTCTTAACTGGTATAATAAAAATATTACTTACCACTATGTTGAGTAACTCCTGAAAGAACTTTTAAATCGACATGTTCAACTGGTAATTCACAAAAAATTTCTTGAGCAGCCTAAAGTTCATATGTTAATCTATAATTGAAAATTTCTTTTTTGCTTGAGAAATATTTCCTGAACCAGTAAAAACAATAATCAATGGTTTAATGGATTTCGGCATAAGACCTAATACAATTTCATATTCAGCATCTCGAATAGCTACTCGAGCTTGTTCATTATTTCGATCATTTTGTACAAGACCAATATGCTAAATATAAAGATTTTTCTTTCAATTTTTTTATCTGTACTTTCCATAAATGGTATTGACATTTTTATATCCATATGAAAGCATGAAATAAATTTTATTTGATATTAATAAATCAAAAGGAACTTCTTGAACACTAATTATAACCGATGCTTCACTTAAATCTTCTTGAACAATAGTACCTGCTTGAACATACGATAAAATAGAAAAGCACAATCATTTTATGCTAATATAAGTGTTCGAGCATGTTCACGTGTTAAGAAACAATAACGTTTTCATGGAGACTCATCTTCACGACGAATACGGACTACATATTTTGAACTAGTCGAATGACAGCATAATGTAAAATGTAGGAGAGTATTTGATTCTAAATTTGGTCGAAAAGAGACATCGGAAATAGATGTTAATTATATCATCACAAATATTGATCAAACTAAAAAAATCTTATTGGTTAGGTTTCAAGGATCAGTAAATATTCTGTTTTTTCTATATGAAGTGCTTATTTTACGTGTATTTTTTTGATAATTCGAATATGAGGACATTGAATGATTAGTCAGATATTAATACTTAGTAAATAGTTTGTTTTCTCTACATTGAGTAGTTGTTTTATCTGTTTTTTTGTTGCTGATAGGGATATAGAGATATTGCATGGATGAATAAAGATGATTAATAATAATAATAAAGTTCTGTGCATTGTTGTATGTTTTTGGTTTTATTATATGTTTGAAGTATACAAAGAACCTTTTGAAGCTTATAATATGAGTAAGAACAATTTAACACTAGAGTCGTGCAAGGTCTTGAAAAAAAAATAATTTTAGATAATCTAGATGGCAAATAGATGTATTGCTTTAGTAAAATGAATTTCGATATGATTTCATTCAAATACATGCACTTTGTTCGTCGTTTATTATTCTCAGTAGTCAAAAACGAAAAACTTTCAGAATTGATACTAATAGTCTTTTCGAATTATGCATTTTTACCAATGTCGATTTTGAATTTTACTGATCTCTATTGAGTGTTGTCATACTTGAACAATCAATATCGATTATCTTATCTGATGATCATTTCATTGTTAACTCTTTAGAATGCTAATGAGAAAATGTTAAAATATTTTCCAATATTCTTAGACAAGACAATCAAAATTAATATTTTTCTTATTATTTGACCGAACTTCAATAAAAATATGTTATTCATGATCAACGAGATGAGTTCTACAAGACTAGATACAAAAACATTAAATTTTAGATGAAAACGTTTTTTCCATATTTGGGGTATCTCAGGCACAAAAATTTAGTAAATCAGATTTCAATGTTTTAACCCTATAAGAAATCTCAGAAGGGTATTTTCATAAACGTGCAAGTGTCATTTAGTTCCCATTTCGTGAAATGAAAACTAGTGAAATTGTAACTTCTCTTTTTATATGAATTATTCGACATTATTTTATTTTTATCAAGAAAAGAAAAATACGGTTTTAGCTAACAAGAAGTTTTGTCAAATTTGTAAAGACTTTATTTTTAATGTAGTCTTCTTCGTCTAAATCGAGTTCATTAGAACAATCAGTAATTATTAAAAGTTTTATTTGTCTACGAATTGATAATAAATCATCATCATATCTTAATCTACGTCTGTGAGAAACGATGTTATTATAATCAGCAATTAATATTTCAATATTTGGTGTTAATAATAATAAACGTTTGATATGATAATAATTCCTTTCATCCTTATAATTTAATATTAATTTTCGTACTTTACTTAATACTAATTTTTTATCATTCATCAAATTTTTATCTAATTTACATAATTCAATTTCCATTGTAAATAAATTTGGAAACTGATCATTTATAAATTGGATTAATTTTGGGCTTAATTGATCTTTGCTATAAGATATTTCAATATGTTCAACTGTTGGGAATAATAGAATATCTTTTTTATCACTTAGGTTTTGATAAACAATATGATTTGATACATTTGATAAGGCATCATTTATAAAGGACCGTGAGGTAAAAATCCTAATTTTGATCTTTCTCTTTGTCGGCTATTGGTTGAATACTGTTTCTTCTCCTGGATGTTCTACACAATCTTAATCAATGATCAGCCAAAAATAATTTTAAAAAAGGATTATTACTCTGTTGACTATTGAGAAAAATGTTTTTTGATAAGATTCAATGAATCCGAAAGTCACGAAAATTCATTTAATCTTAAATAATAAATGATTTCGAAATACCCATATAGGATTATGTGCCTTGAGCGAAATGCCGCAGAATCACACTGAATATAACTTCACTCAATGTTTGCTTTTGTGAAAGCGGATTCTGAATTCATGAAATTCGGCATTTTTACAATGGTTAATTCATCAAACCTCAATGATATGAGAATTGCATGCCTCTCCTTACTTTCGAAAAATTATTAGTTTTCGCTACCCGATTTGACTGAGAAATACTGTTTGCTCACTCACATGGGTGATCAGTGATGACGGCACTTCCTAGCTCTTGTCTTCATCACATCATGGGAAAAGATATAACTGATATTGCTTCAGCCACACCAATGAATTTCGCTAGATTTGTTTTTGTCTTTGTTTCTATTAATGATAGATGTCCAAAAACAGTAAAAACCCAGAATTGTTGAACCACATTTAATCAGAAGAAGTTTCAGCATTACTGTTACTTTTTGAACTATTCTACTTTTTGGTTGTACCTCTGCAACTAATGTATTATAACACATATAATTGTAACGGTTCCAATGAAGTGCATTGTATGGATGATATTTAACGCTCCTCTACGATATATACTGGTCCTTGGCATCGTTCTTGCTTTTTTGTTGTTGCTTTGATGTTTTTGTCTTTCCTCCTCTTCCGTTCTCTCTGATGCTTGCATATACAGGGTGTCTCATAATTATAAGACCCCCTACTAAATTTCCACAAAAATAAAGATTTCCTTAACTAAAGAGGGTTTCATTTCCAATCTAACGTCATACCTAAAGACATCTAGCACTACTCTATCATATACCATATTAGTTTCAATTTAGTCAATTACCATTAATGAATAAATTTTAATAATTTCAAATCAATGCGTCTCATAATTATAAGACCCCCCNGAGTACTACTAGATGTCTATAGGTGTGACATAAGATTAGAAATGAAACTTTCTTTAGTTGAATTAATCTTTACTTTTATGGAAATTTAGTGGGGGTCTTATAATTATGAGACACCCTGTATAAACGTGTGCTTTTGACCAGAGCGATGTGATTGTATCATATGTAAGAATAGAATAAAGTGTACTTTCATCCGCACTAATATCCCTTCTATCAGAAATCGTCACAATAATAGATTTTAATATTACATCAAACGAAAGCTTATTTGAGGCGTAGATTGTAAATAAAAATTTCACATTCGTTACAAAAAAAGCTGTTAACGCAATCTCTGTGGGATTAAAATGTGAAACATGATCGAGCCGCTTACTTAGACTATAAATGAGAAAATACTACCGTGAATATTATGGTCTCTGATAGTCTCTAGCTGGCATCTGTCACAGGCTGTGACGCTTCCATGTTAATGTAGGTCACGTCTGTGGGAGAGGGGGCCGGAGTGGTGGGTCCAAATTTCAACATATATATACTTCAACACGCCTTTTAGATCGTATTTCACAAAAAATCTCATTTAGCAATGAGAAGTTACAATCTGGTCAGGCCACCAAAGCTTAGTCCATGCTGAGCTTCATATAAGACAAACAGAAATTCTAGACAAGATAATTATTTCGTCTCTTCTCAGTTTTGAGAGAGAGTTCATATGGGCTTACAAAAACGGGTGTTTGCTCTCTGAAAAAACTAGCTTTCGTTAGCCAAAAACTATCGTTGATTTCAGTCAGGTCGAGTCACGAAAAATTGGCGCATGCCGGACTTCCGTCAGAATTGGAGAACTGATATATATTCACTCAACAATGACAAAATTTCAGCTGTTATGGATGTCTTTGATATAATGTTCAGAAGTGTTTCATACTCTTCTTTCTTTTCAAATACTTGAATGTCCTTTATGAATATTCTTTAATTGTTTAAATCCATAAGGTAATGATAGAAATGAATAATAATCAGGATAATCATCTTTATACCACATAAGTCGATCATTATTAAAATCATTTTGTGTTATTTGAGGTGTTAAATGTAATTGACGAAATCGAATATAAAAATAAAATCTTTTTAAATCTGGTAATTTTTCCAAAATTTCATTTTCTGTATATTTTTCGTCCATACGATTTATTTTAAGTTTAAATATTTTTAATAATGTTGATTGTTTAAGTTGAATTAAAAAATAATTTAAATCATTTTGTTTAATATATTTACATTCAAAATGACATTTAATTAGTTTTGATAACAAAAAATTTGATTTATTTTCATTTATGTGACCTTCTCCATTGACAATTTTGCCACAGAAATATTTTAATGATCGAAGAGTATGTAATAAACGAGTTAGATTATCTAGATCTACTAAATAAATAGTTAAATTTTGTAAACAATGATTGATTGTTTTGAAATTATCATAATCTAGGTACAAAGGAAAATTTCGCATTAAAGTAAAACTTTGTAATAATGAATCTTCTTCAAGTAATGCTGCAATAATTTCGCACATAAGATGAGGATCGGCATATAATTTATATTCACTTTTATTTTCACTCAAATTTAAATACTTTAGTTGTTTGAGAAATTTTAAATATTTTAAACATTTAGTTAAAGGTAAAAACTGAATATTTGTTATAAATAATGAGTCAAGTTTTGGATAAGAGTTTAATGACTGAAATATTTTGTCAATTTGCTCATCATCTACATTGATTATTTCTACTTTTGCTGGTAAACTTGGAAGATATTTAAAAAATCAATTTTCTGATATTTGTGTTAAATCAATATTTGTATTTATATTAAAATATGAAATAACAGTTTGTTGAAAAGAATAATTTAAATTGAAAAATATTTTAATTATTACATGTTGTGGAAAGTAAGGAAATAGATGATAAAGAAATAATTCAATTGGTAAATCTTCACTAAATAGATAAATGAGATTATGTTGTTTGTTTCAGAGAAGTAAAAACTTATCGGGAAATTTTCTGTTGATCGAGTTCGAGACCGTCCTAACGGACGCTACTCCAAAAGTGAGAGTTAATTTTAACTGGATTCTTCTAAGAACACAGTCATCCTTAAGCATATGAAAAATAATGTTCGCCAGTGTTTTATTCGGCGTGGAGTTTTGCAATTTCTGCGACCGATTTTGACCTCCCGAATTTGAGATTATTGTGCGTGATACTACACATACCCTCCTCCACTCGAAACAGTTTTCGTGCTCTCACAAAAAAGATCTGATTAAGAGACTGAGATTCAGATCGGAATTCACAAATTACACTAGGCGAGACTCAATGAATCTTGATTAATAACAACAGTGATGACAGAATTTTTCTAATTATTTCTTGCATAATTTGAGAACAGCACCGAGGAAATCTATTATTTTCTATGACTGTGGTATTCGACAGACCGCCATGGACTGGCACATAAGATTAAATCAAGCTTTATTCCTTCAGGTAACGTCAAGTTGACCGCAACTAGTCTCTGTCGATAATATAGAGCAGCCTTAATTTTCTATTGTAAGATTTCGATCAAAGATTTTAACTAGAAAATAGAATCAGATTGTAACTATTTTAATTATAATAAGCATTTTACACAAAAAAACCGGAACTCACAGTTTTAATAACTTTGTATGATCATTATCCTTGATTGTTGAAGGATCTGTTTTGAATCTTTTCGAATTAGATGCAAAATCTATATATTCAGAATACTGTTTAAACATAATTATTTTTCTACACAAGTTTACTTACTCTCATTATGGTGTTTGGTTTTATTTATTGGAGTAATAGAATTATAATCTTTTTTCTCCATTTTTTATTGTCACTTATCACTCAACAAATAAAAAACAATTGTATTCGTATACCAAAAGAATGACGAGTAAGTCAATATATTACACTGTCGTTTACAATCAAATAACGGTATGATGAAAGAAACTTGACAACGATAAAGAAAGAATTACAAGAGCCAAATGAAACTCACGTGGTTGAAATAAGAGAAAATGAATGCCATAGTGTAATGTTTGTCTATGTGGAGAAAGAAAACTTTTTGCTTTGTGTCACATAAAATATGATCTAGTAGTTGACGTTAATGACTCACTGCGTCATTTCTAAAAAGAATTCACTGATGCACTTGTTGGGATCATTTTGTAAATTATTCCAATAAAAAAAATGATGACACAGAAAATTACGCAAGGCGTACAGAGTTATTATAAAATATTTTTGAGGTGGTCATTTTTTCTTTTTTAATTTTCTACATATTATGCACCAGCGGCATAAAAGATGTGGCTGTGGATGGGTGGTGGGAGGTGGTCAGTACGTGTGCATCGATGAGTATTCACTTCGGTCTAACCCACACCTACACCCAATTTTTTCGCATTACGGTCAAAAGACATCAAGCTAGAGTCACCACACGACGTTTGTCTATGCATTTGTCAGGAAAACATGTCACTTTTATTGAAAGTAAAAATGACCATATTTTTTGTACTAGACTTCTGTTGTTTATTCAAGGCATGGAATACGAAGATCAGAAGCAGCATCACATTGAACGATCTAATTGAATCTGTGGTTTGTGATTCGGAGAGTGAAAAATATTGCTCACATGCTTGTAGTGACTGTTCAAGCAAAGTATCATCATCTATTCTACTTGAAGGCGAAGATCTAGATGAAGAAGAAGTTACTTGAACAGCATGGAAAAGCATTGACAACAAGGTGAGGCTAAAAACCGTTTCAGGTTCAATGACTTCTCTTATTGGGGAGATCGATGAGCGGTGGGTGGTTTTTCTCTATCATGCTTTCATTAACCGGCAACAAAGACAATATATTGAAATAATTCATGAACAGTCGAGTGATGATAACTGCATCGTTGCTGAAATTGACTTTGCTGAAAATTAGAAGGTTGTTCGACAACGAGGACCACAGGTGCGCATTGGAACACCGATCAAGTTACGCTCTTCACGGTACACTTAAAAATAGGGAGACGACACCGCTGCACGGCTTTCATTAGCGATTACATGGATCATGATTCGAAGTTTGTTTGGTTAGCTCAAAAACCATCGGTAGCTTTGTAAAAGAACAATGTCCACAAGTGAAAAAGCTGTTAGCGCAATCCCTTGCGGGATTAAAAATGTGAAACACGATGGCTCTATTATTACTAATTAAATGGAAATCCTTTTCTTCCATTACGTTGCGATACATTTGTAGCTAACCGNTATCACTTATCGGAATCTTCGCTACACTAGTGTAGGATTCCATGCGGATGTTTTCAAGAACAAACTATAGTGTGAATCCTTGCAGAGCAAATTCTAATCGTAACTAGGATCTTGGTCAGAAAACATGAAGATTTGCTTAGAGATTTTCACAATTTTTTCCTATTTATGTATTGAAACTTTTGAAAGAATTTTCTTTTTTCTAAGTTCAGAATGCTGAATTTGATTTTGGGTGAGGGTGGTGGCGTGAGCGTGAGTGTCGGTAAAGAGAAGATGATCACCAAAATCTACACTAACCTGTATCCACAGTCAGAAAGCACACACTATCCATACTACGGAGAGCCGTAGAGACATGTTTTTGTTGAATAAAATTTCGAAATAAAAGAATTCAAAATAAAAAAAGATATGCGACGAAGACTTTGAGAGTCTTTCATGTAATTGCCTCTCAAGATAGAGATCTAACAAAAAAACCAAGTCTACAATCTTGTAGCGCGAATTTCGCTCTATGATTTGAAATATTTTTAGGTCTTATAATTAGATTGAGACCTATTGAAGAAAAGGGTATGAATATTTTTTTCGAAAAATTTTTATTCAGATAGATACAACAGAGAAAGCTGAAAATTGGAATTTATTGGCCTTAAAAACTGTGTTTTTCGTTTCCGATAAGAACAAACTGGGTTGGTTCTACATCATCCTCATTTCTCCTGAAAAAAACTCAACTTCTTGCAGCACTTACCTTTCTTTAGTGATTCATTTGTTTCGTCAAGCATCACCTGCCAACGTGGTTGTTCAAAGAAGTTCAGCTGAATCAAACTTCCGTCATTATGCAACAATTGCAATTGTGCCATATCATCACCGGTTATTTGGCTATCGTAAAACTCCAAATAAGTCAGCGTATTGCATTTTTTCGAAGCGTGAAGAAGTGCTTCTATGAGTTCACGTGAAATAACTGATGCAGATATACAAAGACGTGAAATAAAGTCATCATTTTTTAATGATTTTATCAAATGAGTTTCTATTCGATTCGACGGTCGTATATCTTGAATATGCAGGCTCAGATATTTGATTGCATTGTGACCACTCAATATGGCCAGAAGATTAAGAACGAAAGTTTCGTCTTCGAAACCAATCTGATCCATCACATCAATTTCAACAAGTGTTCTATTTTTCTTCAACATTTCACAGAAATGGGTTAAAGTTGAAGGCGTGCGCAGGGAATAAGTGAGTTTTAATTGACGTAGTGTATTTGCTTTCAAAGTAAATATAGTATTGAGGAGATCAATGTTGTTGCAATGCTCCACAATCAGTCCTGTGATAATTTCGTTCGCCTCAAGACATCGCCGAAGATCATTCTGATGCCAGAGAAATTCCAACGCAGAAAATTCTAATTTTCGATGTATCTTGTTTTGCAGCAAAACCCGAGTGAGCATCTGGATATTTCCATCTTGATAAGAGTCAGAAAAACGAACTTTCAATGATTGATTATTGAACTCGATGGCCATATATCTGCAAGTGTATTTTGACATTCCAAAATACTTCCAAACACTAACCGTGATCATGTTTAGACAACGAATCGAAGAACGATTTATAGCAATGTCAAGCAACGTGTCGAGATAACTCTCATAGAACGAACAATCTTGAAATATCAGTTTTACAATATTAAAACCTTTTGTGAGTGCATCACACAACATTGTAACGTTTTCGCTGGTCACATTCACTTGGCTTACAATCGCTTCCTTGATTCGTTCATTGAATTTACCTCCCATGGCCACAAAGTCACTAATATATTTACGCATTTTATTATTAACGCTAATGGCATCGTAGTGTTTGAGACACACCCACAGAACATGACCGTTGACGGTGATTGTTCGGTATAAATTCCCGAGGCTACTTTTACTGTCGACCAGTTCTAGATATGTTTCAAGTTCACGTAGCTCTTCGATCGAAAGTGGCATGGCTTCTGAGTTCTTTATGTTAGTCATTGAAGGACTTGGAGAAATTTGTGTTTTGTCTAATTTATCGATAAACGCTTCAACAAATTTTAATTGCTGTTTTATGCGTAGGTAGTCCTCAGGAGTGTTCGATTTCGATGATGACGCGTTATTGAACTCTTCTGGTACATCTGTCAGCTGTTGAAGATCAAAACGTCCAACTGAGAGTATGATTCGAACAATATTTAAAGTTGTTCTTAAATACGATCCATATTGCAAAATGAAGTCTCTCGGCTTTTTAATTAAATAACCTCCGTGAGGAGCGACATGCATCTCATTTGACTCGTATGAACATTCACATAGAAAGTAGAGTTTATAACG